TGCTGAGGATGGTCTGCATTGTGTGCTTTTCGGCTTAGAAGATGATCAGGACACAATCTGACCGTGCATCCGCTGATCTGAGGCTGTTACCAAGCTTTGGATTCAGAGGGCCGGACGTGGTACCAGCCCACCTTTTTCTTGTTGAAACGGTTTGATGTTGGCGGCACAAAAAAAACCGTTGAAACCATCACCCCAAAGAAAGCCGTTTCTTACTGCACCTGCCACGTAATCTTTTGCAAAAGGAAACCCTACATTGGCAAGCTCCCAAAAAGAAAATGATGAGGAATGCTGCATGATGCACACGTTGAATGACATATGTCCACAGACACATGCAGACACACTTACACACTCATTCCCAACAGCCAAACACAATCCCAACTGTGCACACACTGATGGATGACACCCTTGCATGGTATGTCCTATTTGTAGACAGGGGCTGGGACAGCAATGCCTATACAATTGCGGTCGGCATGCCTGTTTTCCCATGTGAGGCAGCAACTGCAGCTGCGAGCATTGGATGCAGTCCTCCCACAGTCGACACCTGAGCCAGTCCTGTCCGATCTGCAGGGGTGGCCACTTACCGTCGGCAACCCCGGCTCCTCAAGTCATTTTTCTCTGCGACCCAAACACTGACTGGCCTTTTGTGCCATCCCATATAGTCTGCTTTTCTGGTGAGTACTGAGAAGCCTCTGAAGTTAATCTTTACCCTGTTCGATTTCTTCCTCCATCCACTTCTCTTCCTCCGCTTCTCTCTCCTGCCTCTCCTCGTGTAGAACTTCTCCCTCCCCTTGTGTAGAACAACTAAGTGCAGGCGAATGAGGATCATTTGGACAACAGACAAAATATAATGTGCAGGTGTGCTGAAAAAGTAAACAGGATATGTGCGCATTCCACCTTCCTCCTCTACTCAGCCTCATGGCGTGCAAGTTGGCCGTTATGGACACGGGATGTTGGCAGCTGGCGCTCAACTACATCAATGTGGTGAGCCTTGTACGTGAGAGGCACAGCAAAGAGGAGCTGAAAGAAGAAATAAAAGAGAAACAAAAAAAGCGAAAGGAAAGAGAACAAAGAACTGCACAGTCAAAGGTAACAGCGGTCTTAGTGTGATTAATGTTGTCTACTATTTTTTCTCATTTACTTCCCAAAGTGCACTCCTTCAGTCAATAGATATGTGAGGCAAGTCTGTGAGTACACCCTCCCACTCACACTCTCGCACCCACACATGCACACGATTATTCGCACACACACACACACACACACACACACACACCTGTCTCTTATACACATCTAGATGTGTATAAGAGACATCTCTCTCTTGTGGCTGAATGGTACACATGTAAG